ACACACACACACACACACACACACACACACACACACACACACACACACACACACACACACACACACACAGACACACAGACACGGCAATTTCATTAGTGATGTTTTGGATATAATGCACACAATATTTGGACATGCAATATTTACAGTGTATCTCAATATTTATGTCATATTTATTTATGACAATTTATTTTACTCATAATTTATATCCAAGTAAACTGAAAAGACTAAAACTAAAGCAGTTTAAATCAAGTTAAAATAATCAAGACATGTTTTTGCTTTAGTACATACACATAAAAAATCCAGAAAATACAAAACAAAAAATATTGAAAAAGGACAAAACAAGTACAAAAACGAACAAAGCAAATGAGTCGTTGAATCACTGTTTGATCTGATTCACAATTTGAACTGACTCTCTGAAATGAATCAAAGGTTGCTGAACAGACTGAATGTTTAAGAGTTATTAAGGGGGTCTGAATACTTTCCGTACCCACTGTATATTAAAAATGTTTATCCTGATGCAACGTGCAACGTGCATTACTGTAAATATGACAAAGTGACAGAAGAACAGCAAGTGATTGTTCGTAAGTCGCCAGATAAAAGCTAAATGCATAAATGTATATGTAAAGTGTGGTGTAAAATGAATTTCTATGCTAATCACCAGCATGTCACAGAGTTGAGCTTACATCAGACCCTGCCGTGACAGGAGATCGCACATGTGAACACGTCTACGGCTGTAATCTCACTACACATGTGACTATGGAAAGCCGTGTGTGTGTAGCGTGTGAAATGTTTCCAGGTCACTGATGGGTTTGTGTGACAGTAAACCAGAGCTGCTCTACAATACAAAACAACCCGAGTCCAGCAGCTGGAAGCACAACTTGTACAATACATACGAAAACAACACAAACACCCCGCGGCTTGCAGGAGTAAACCGACCTGAACTGCCTGAACTTCCAGAAGCGTCTCAAACAAAATAGCTTTTTAATCTTGGTGTGAATAAAAAGTACAAACACATCATACAAACCAAAAATGCACAGTTTTCACCAGTTTTAACTGATCAAATGCACTTCCTGAATATTTGAGATCCATCTGATAAAGTTGCCTTCAAAACATCCTCCAGCACTGAAGTCATGACGCACACAAATGTGTCCCTGCAGCACAAAAGCAGTCTTAAGTCGCTGGGGGATATTAGTAGCAATAGCCAAAAAAACATTGTATGGGTCACAATTATAGATTTTTCTTTTAAGCCAAAAATCATTAGGATATTAAGTAAAGATCATGTTCCTTGAAGATATTTAGTAAATTTCCTACCGTAAATATATCAAAACTTAATGTTTGATTAGTAATATGCATTGCTAAGGACTTCATTTGAACAACTTTAAAGATGATTTTCTCAATATTTAGATTTTTTTGTACCCTCAGATTCCAGATTTTCAAATATTGTCCGATCCTAACAAACCATACATCAATGGAAAGATTATTTATTCAGCTTTCAGATGATGTATACATCTCAATTTCGAAAAAATTGGCACTTAAGACTGGTTTTGTGCTCCAGGGTCATATATATATATACATGTGGGTGTGTGGGTGTGTAGCCACATATGCATATATATATATAATTTAATAAAAAATAAATAAAATTAATAAATAAAATTAATTAAATAATAAAAATTAATAAAAGTATAGTTAATATTGTTTTATTTATTTTTATTCTTTTTTTTATTCTTTCACTTATTAACTTTAATTTTTTATTTTATTTAAATAAATATAAATTTATGACAAAATGTAAGTAAATTAATTGTATTTGGTTTATCAAGACATTAATTCCTTTATTCTTTTATTATTACATTTAATCATTTATTTTTGATTATTTTTAATTTTATATATATATATACATACAGTGGGGCATATATATATATATACATATAAACACGCATACTGGTAAAAAATGTATAGCCTGCACTGTAAGTCGCTTTGGATAAAAGCATCTGCTAAATGCATAAATTATTAATTATTAAAATTATATATATATATACATACACACATAGACCGTGTAATACACTGTATTTTCCTCATATTATGACAATGGCAATTACTGTGTTAAATAAAGACAAAATACTGGTTTAAACTGGGCTCACAGCCTGTCATATTCTCTTCTGCAAATAAGACGTGGCATTTCCATCTGAAGGCTGGTTTGTGTAATTACAGACGAGTGGAGCAGCACCAGCGCATATAGAGAAAAATATCACAGCCATTAAAACCTGTCATTTGGTTTCAGATGAACAGTTTCCAGATGGTAGTTCACCAATTACCCAGAGAAGAGCAGAGCGGGTCCGTCAGCGTTCACACAGACAGGTAAGAGAGATCGTAATGACCAACCCTACTTTAGAATTGCCCTCAATCTATTCTAAGAGCATCATTACACTGCGTTTATGCAGCACTGCAAAAAATAAGGCCTCGAGTTGCTTATTGCTTTCATAAAGCAGCAGCATGAGCGTTATGATAAAAGACACAGATGTGCAATGAATAGTTAGGCTTATGTTCATTTATAAATATTATTAATAATTATGAAGAATAAAGGATAAACAATTGTTCTGCCAAGTATTATGATTCATTAGGTTATAGTTAATTTCCATTTTATGACAGCTTCAAGCATCACTCTTCCAATCAGAATCAAAAGGAGTCAAAACGGTTACTTTTATATCTAAAACTATCATTATTATTAATTATTAAGACACAGAACTTTTTACACCCTTTGACTTAAGTTTTGCCATCTTAAAATCACTGACGTTAATTTAAACACACAAGCGTTCGTCTTTCTCTGACAGAAGTGAGCATCAGCTGTGTGTCCTCGTCTAGATCTGACCTTTACAGCACTGATAAATCATGTGTCTGAACCAAAACATCTCAAATATATTACACTATCTGTAATCTCTAATGCACAAGTGATAACATTCAGCTGTGTTCGGCTTATGAGTGACTATTTTCTAGACTGACAATGAATTCAGCGTTTTTCTGTTTTAGCAGAGTGAAGTAAACAGTGTGTCTGAAATCAACTGTGTTTGCTTATTCTTTTTGTTGACTACTTAGTATGCATATATATATATATATACACACTGCCATTCAAAAGTTTGGGATCAGTAAGAGTTGTAATATTTTTTAAAGTCTCTTCTGTTCACCGAGGTGACATTTATTTGATCAGAAATACAGAAAAAACGGCAATATTGTGAAATATTATTGCAATTTAAAATAACAGTTTTCTATTTGAACATAAATTAAAATATAATTTATTTCTGTGATGCGCAGCTGTATTTTCAGCATCATTCCTCCAGTCTTCAGTGTCACATGATCTTCAGAAATCAGTCTAATATGCTGATTTATTATCAATGTTAGAAACAGTTTTGCTGCTTAATATTTTTCGGAACCTGTGAAACTTTATTTCAGGATTCTTTGATGAATAAAAAGCTAAAAAGAACAGCATTTATTCAAAATAGAAACGCATTAAAAATCTTACTGATCCCTACACACACACACACACACTCACACACACACACACACACACACACACACACACACACACACATACTTACCTATTTGTCTAAAGATCTAGCAAATGTAAAGGAGTTTTCTGAATATATTCATTCACACAATATTTCACTGCAATAACCAACACAAATCCAATCGTCAGTATTGTCTCTCCTTTTCTGAAGCTTCTTTCACAAGTTCAGATGCAAAGACATCCAGAGTTCAGAAATGAATACAATTCACCTCAAATGGGTTCAGTTCTGTATTATCTATGAGCTGTTGGTCTTTATGTGTTAGTCATGTGTATAAACTGACCTGCCAGGATGGCTTTTCCAGGATGGGTGAGTTCGGCTTTGCTCTTCATCTTCAATCACTGTTTCATCTGAGAGCAGCGCGCGATCCGCCGATCTTAGACTCTGCTCTCAGCCAATCAGCGGGCTCTCTCTCTCTTTCTCACTCACTCACTCACTCACTCTCTCGCCCTCCAGAAACGAAACTCGAGTTAAGGTGGATCTCCAGTTTAAAACTCCTTCACATCATCCGACTGACAGAAAACAGCTCGAGGTTTTAGTTTTAAATAAAAAATCAGCAGTATGGAGGCTCAGCCTGCAGAAATGAAAAATAAATAAATGTGGCAATATTTAAATATGACAATGTATACATGCGGAAATAAATGCATGCCAAAATAAAGGAATGTATAAACAAAAAAATACATAAATCAGAATAAAAAAGTGATAAAAAATTGAAATAAAGAATCAGTACCGAAAATAAATAAAAAGTAATACAAAAATAAATGTAGGACTAAATTTTATAATTTGTATTTGTTTTATAAAGTCATTTATTCCTTTATTTTTCCATTATATTATTTATATGTATTTATTCATTTATTTTTAATATAATTTTTTTTTTTTTTTGCAGGTTTGGGCCTCCATACATCAAAGATACATGTATAATCTGTCAAATCTGTTAAAACTCTAGTGTGATCAATATAAAGGAGCTACTGTTACTGTATATTATGCACTAATTTTAACTAAAAGAAAAAACACTGCACTATGGTAACACAATGCTTTTTTTTGTACTACATAGTTTTTTTCTGGACATAGTTTCTATGAAGTATTGTAGAAATATATATTCTGATTCCATCACTGTACTAGGGAATATGAAAATGGGAATATAGCATTACTTTCTGGAACATAACCATTGAATGCATCATAACTCTGCCACTATAGTGATGCTGAAAACCAAACTAATCCCAAAATGTGATCTTTCTGCTACACTACGTTTTGTTAAAAATTGAGCAAGAACCCAGACAAGAACATGCCGGAAAAACACACAAAACCCACATTAAACAGGAACAACGTGAAAGACAGTGACCTGAAGTGACTTGAGAGTGAGACAGAATGAACAGCACATGTAAACTTTATTCTCTGTGCCTCTTCAGTCGAAGGAGTCGCTACACACTGAGCAACCCAAACATCACTTTTTGTATTTTTTGCATAATGTTTTCCTAAAAAATAATGTCTCTTTTGACTACAACATTATATAGACAGTGCATATGGCTTGCAGTAACATGGATGATGAACAGCAGCAGAAAAAGCTTCAATAATCATGAGCAAGTAACAGCTACATCAAGCTAGTGTTAAATAAACAGACGTTTGGTTGTGCTCATCACTGATGGTGAGATTTTCACATTGTAAAACTGAAATTTAGTACCGCTTGAAACGTAAACAAAGTTAATGCTGCAGAATCAAACGATTAAAAACAGACGAGAATGGACAAAAGAACCAAGAAATGAGTTTGTCACTACAAATACTGTATTGTTCACCCTAACTAGTGTCGTTCGGGTTTAGTGTCCTTCCTCTCATCATCAGCGCGATCTGATCAGATTCAAATGAAAATATAAGTTAACGAGCAGCTTGTTGAGCGGTGAACGCAACACACGTATGTAAGGAAGTAGCGCTGGGTGTTCATTTGATTGCAGAGATGCTTCGTCATGCTTCCTGAATGCAGCACAGGCACACGTTTCCCAGAATTCCTAGCAGGAAAATTCAAGGTTGAAGGTTGAAGCCGTACACCGGAGGAGTGAAACCGTAAGCTGGGAAGCCCGTCTGAGGATTGACGGGTGTTTGACTGCCACTCAGCATCAGCTGTTGTCCTGCATCAACACACACACACACACACACACACACACACACACACACACACACACACACAGACAGACACAGACACAGACACGGACACGGACACGGACACAAACACTCATACACATACAGACACACATACACATACACACACAAGCACACACACAGACACTCACACAGACACACACACAGACTCACACACACACACATAGACACAGACACTCACACAGACACAAACACACTCACACAGACACTCACACACACAGACACACACACACACACACACACACACAGACACAGACACTCACAGACACAGACACACAGACACAGACACTCACACAGACACACAGACACAGACACTCACACAGACACACACACAGACTCACACACACACACATAGACACAGACACCCACACAGACTCAAACACACTCACACAGACACTCACACACACACACACACACACAGACAGACACGGACACAGACACGGACACGGACACGGACACGGACACAGACACAGACACGGACACTCATACACATACAGACACACATACACATACACACACAAGCACACACACACACACACACAGACACACACACACTCACACAGACACTCACACACAGACACATACACTCACACAGACACTCACACAGACACAGACACATACACTCACACAGACACACACACACATACACACACTCACATAGACACAGACACTCACACACACACACACAGACACTCACACAGACACACACACACATTCACACAGACACTCACACACAGACACATACACTCACACAGACACAGACACAGACACACACACACACAGACACAGACACAGACACTCACACACACACACACACACACAGAGAGACACAGACACACAGATATTCATATTTATGAATGGGAACATTTAACGTGATATGTGATTGATAATGCATCACAAGCACTCAGCATCTGGGCAGGATTTCACAGCGGTTTCTGTTGAATAACAATTATAGATCAGAAAGAAGGTTTGGCTGAGCTGTACGGAAGAAAACAGAGAATCACAAACTACTGGATCGGCTGTAAACTACATGTCGAGGAGCAAACATGCTTTATTCAAAAAAGATGAAACAAAATACGGCGTCTGAAAATCTGTAAATATTTAGCTAAAAAATAAAATACTAATAAAATAATTGTCCAGGTTGGAGAAGTTTCTCAATTATAATGTATTTAAACTGGAATGATTGAAGCTGCATTTAATTTCATCATGTTTCCTGCCACAAAACAATCAGCTGTAAGCAATTTTAAACTACTTTTTTGCTTGAGATGGCGTCTGATGCATGTGCACATTGACCAGCAATGAGAAAAGATTGATTTAGTAGAAAGTGCATGAAAGAGCTGATGATGAACATACCATAGACGATGGAGGAGGCTTCAGGAGTCTGGTCTTCAGGTGCTCTCTTGTCCTCATGCTCCTGCAGTTTATCCACCTGTAAGAGACGCAGAAGTCAACGGAGCAGCAAACATCACTGTCAAAGTGTCACGCTGAGTCCTTTTTATCCAAACGCCGTCCACTGAGCCGCTCATGCCCTTCACACACTCCTCAAGTCCTCCTCTGACGTCTGTTTACAGCATCATCATGCAGATGCCCAGTAATGTCACACCACATGCACACATACACTCACATTCACTTAACAATACTTTAAAACATCAATGATTTTCCCTAAGCAATGCATTATATAAATATGACTTATAAATCCCACTTAGAAAACCACAATGCAAGATCTCACATTCGTCGTATATATTTATCGTTATAATATGTGAAAAGCTAAAATAATAGCTGATTGACAATTGTAAGCATCCTACAGTGAGACTAATGAACTATTATTATTTGGCTTTTCAGCTCTGTGCAGGGTTATAATTAACTAAAACTACAACTAAATCTAAACCTAAAACCATACTTGAAATAAATGCAATCTAATATATATATTTACTATTTAAAAATATATATATACTAACTACATTGGTTATATCTACTCTATCACATTATATAATTAAATTTATGCAATCAGAACAATATTTATCAGGCACTAAAATATTAATAATCTCATTTAGGGTGACTGAATTAAATCTGAACAGAAAAATGTACACTAACTACAACTACTGAATAAAAAACACTAATTTATTTGAAAGCATAGTGATAAAGAGCAGCATCTGACTTAATATTTTACAATTGTCCACTTGAAATAAAATAAATATTAAAAAAGCTTATTTAGCAACATTTATCATTTTCATTTAGTTTAACTTGATGTACTAAAATAACTAAAACTAAAATAAAAATGATAAAAAATAGACATATTAAAAAACGACAACAAAAACTGAAATTAAAATGAAAACAAGATATAAAAATAAACTGATTTACATTTCAGCACCTGCAGCAAATTACGTATTTTTGCTCAGTTTAAGTCTCTGAATAAAACTGAGCTGTTTTTTATTCTCACTATATCAGACTATATGAGCCATAAAAGCCTGATGGATCAAAATCTGATTCTGATAAAAGCCTGATGGATCAAATACGATACTCAACACAAAACACATAAGCAAAAAATTTTATTTAAAAAAAAAAAGATTTTGTCTAAAGGTTCAATAACTGTTCCATTGTTCCCAAAAAAAAAAAGAAGATTTTTCTGAATGATATTTCAGGTTACACTTTCCAGGGTTTAACCTAAGAGTGAGTTTGCTGCCTTCTGCAGCTCAATCTGATGTACTGCGTCTTTAATGCGCGTCTCACACCTGCAGGACTTACAAGAGGTTATGTTGAAGACCACTTGACACATGAATAATTCTCCATTTTATAATAATTAGCTTCCCTTTATGTTCTCAAAAATGCACTCACACAAACAAACAAACAGGCTCATTACAGCTACAGAGCAGTGCACTGTGGGTAATCAAGCACACTATTCAGGAACCTGTCATGAAGGAGGGGAGCGTCTGTACTCAACATGCGCTAATATCTAATACAGAGAGAGACAGAACGGGTCAGAGACCTTCACCTGTCCGGATAATTCCTCCACCTGTGGAGGACGGAGAGTCAGGTCAGCTTTAATACAGCAGCTTTACATCATTTACAGCCTGCTGGAGATATTCTATCTACTCTAGCAGATGATCTCATTTGATTTGTGCAATCAGAACAATAATTATCAGGCACTAAAACATTGTGAATCTCATTTAGGGCGACTGAATTAAACCTGAACAACTAATAAACTAGAAAACACTCATTTATGTAAGCAAACATCACTGTCAAAGTGTCACGCTGAGTCCTTTTTATCCAAACGCCGTCCACTGAGCCGCTCATGCCCTTCACACACTCCTCAAGTCCTCCTCTGACGTCTGTTTACAGCATCATCATGCAGATGCCCAGTAATGTCACACCACATGCACACATACACTCACATTCACTTAACAATACTTTAAAACATCAATGATTTTCCCTAAGCAATGCATTATATAAATATGACTTATAAATCCCACTTAGAAAACCACAATGCAAGATCTCACATTCGTCGTATATATTTATCGTTATAATATGTGAAAAGCTAAAATAATAGCTGATTGACAATTGTAAGCATCCTACAGTGAGACTAATGAACTATTATTATTTGGCTTTTCAGCTCTGTGCAGGGTTATAATTAACTAAAACTACAACTAAATCTAAACCTAAAACCATACTTGAAATAAATGCAATCTAATATATATATTTACTATTTAAAAATATATATATACTAACTACATTGGTTATATCTACTCTATCACATTATATAATTAAATTTATGCAATCAGAACAATATTTATCAGGCACTAAAATATTAATAATCTCATTTAGGGTGACTGAATTAAATCTGAACAGAAAAATGTACACTAACTACAACTACTGAATAAAAAACACTAATTTATTTGAAAGCATAGTGATAAAGAGCAGCATCTGACTTAATATTTTACAATTGTCCACTTGAAATAAAATAAATATTAAAAAAGCTTATTTAGCAACATTTATCATTTTCATTTAGTTTAACTTGATGTACTAAAATAACTAAAACTAAAATAAAAATGATAAAAAATAGACATATTAAAAAACGACAACAAAAACTGAAATTAAAATGAAAACAAGATATAAAAATAAACTGATTTACATTTCAGCACCTGCAGCAAATTACGTATTTTTGCTCAGTTTAAGTCTCTGAATAAAACTGAGCTGTTTTTTATTCTCACTATATCAGACTTTATGAGCCATAAAAGCCTGATGGATCAAAATCTGATTCTGATAAAAGCCTGATGGATCAAATACGATACTCAACACAAAACACATAAGCAAAAAATTGTATTTAAAAAAAAAAAGATTTTGTCTAAAGGTTCAATAACTGTTCCATTGTTCCCAAAAAAAAAAAGAAGATTTTTCTGAATGATATTTCAGGTTACACTTTCCAGGGTTTAACCTAAGAGTGAGTTTGCTGCCTTCTGCAGCTCAATCTGATGTACTGCGTCTTTAATGCGCGTCTCACACCTGCAGGACTTACAAGAGGTTATGTTGAAGACCACTTGACACATGAATAATTCTCCATTTTATAATAATTAGCTTCCCTTTATGTTCTCAAAAATGCACTCACACAAACAAACAAACAGGCTCATTACAGCTACAGAGCAGTGCACTGTGGGTAATCAAGCACACTATTCAGGAACCTGTCATGAAGGAGGGGAGCGTCTGTACTCAACATGCGCTAATATCTAATACAGAGAGAGACAGAACGGGTCAGAGACCTTCACCTGTCCGGATAATTCCTCCACCTGTGGAGGACGGAGAGTCAGGTCAGCTTTAATACAGCAGCTTTACATCATTTACAGCCTGCTGGAGATATTCTATCTACTCTAGCAGATGATCTCATTTGATTTGTGCAATCAGAACAATAATTATCAGGCACTAAAACATTGTGAATCTCATTTAGGGCGACTGAATTAAACCTGAACAACTAATAAACTAGAAAACACTCATTTATGTAAGTGTAGTGATAAACAGACTACGTATTTTACAGTTTTCCAAGAAAACAAGGCTGCAGAAGCGACTCAAATGAAGAGAAATCTGGATAAGATTTCATAATAAGGTGCCATTTATTCATCTTTTTTAATGGTAATTAATAAAAATACAACGGTGCATTGTAAGTTCATGTTAAACAGGCCCGTTGAATAATATTAACAGATATTTTAATAAAGTATTATTATTGAATATTAAAATATAGTTAATAAAAATATAACTGTTATATTTTCATGTTAACTTGGGTCTATTAAATAATATTGACATATACAACTTTCGGTTTTAATAATGTATTAGTAAATGCTAAATTTAACAATAACTAAAAATGAGCAATGCATTTGTTACAATATTTATGAATCATTTTTAACAATATTTAATTAAAATACAACTTCATTGTTTGTTCATGTCAGAACAGGTTCATTAAAAATATTAGCAGATACAACTTTAATTTAAAAAAAAATATTATTAAATTTAGAAATGTATTATTTATAATAATAATATAATTTATTATTATAATAAGATTGATAAAGGTTTTAGAAGTATTTTTCATGGTTACTTCTAATGTAGTAACTAATGTTAACAGACAGAACCTATTATAAAGTTAAATTAAATTAAATTAAATTAAATTATTTTAATTATTCATTTAAAGACATTGAATCAAAAAGTGGTTGGAAAATAGTCACTAAATTAATTGAAAATATTTAATTAAATAAATAGTCACTAAATTAATTGAAAATATTTAATTAAATAAATAAATAGTCACTAAATTAATTGCACATTTTTTACTTTTAATTATTAATAATGTCAGAATTTTAATTTCTGTGTGAATCATTCCTTTATACAGTAATAAAATAGTAAATAAATAAAAGAATAAAATAAAAAAAATGTAATACATAGTCACTAAATTAATTGAAAATATTTAAATAAATAGTCACTAAATTAACTGCACATTTTTTACTTTTAATTATTAATAATGTCAGAATTTTAATTTCTGTGTGAATCATTCCTTTATACAGTAATAAAATAGTAAATAAATAAAAGAATAAAATAAAAAAAATGTAATACATAGTCACTAAATTAATTGAAAATATTTAAATAAATAGTCACTAAATTAACTGCACATTTTTTACTTTTAATTATTAATAATGTCAGAATTTTAATTTCTGTGTGAATCATTCCTTTATACAGTAATAAAATAGTAAATAAATAAAAGAATAAAATAAAAAAAATGTAATACATAGTCACTAAATTAATTGAAAATATTTAAATAAATAGTCACTAAATTAACTGCACATTTTTTACTTTTAATTATTAATAATGTCAGAATTTTAATTTCTGTGTGAATCATTCCTTTATACAGTAATAAAATAGTAAATAAATAAAAGAATAAAATAAAAAAAATGTAATACATAGTCACTAAATTAATTGAAAATATTTAAATAAATAGTCACTAAATTAACTGCACATTTTTTACTTTTAATTATTAATAATGTCAGAATTTTAATTTCTGTGTGAATCATTCCTTTATACAGTAATAAAATAGTAAATAAATAAAAGAATAAAATAAAAAAAGGAAATAGATAAATAAATAGTCACTAAATTAATTGAAAATATTTAAATAAATTAATAGTCACTAAATTAACTGCACATTTTTATTTGTAATAACTGTAATAACTTTCATTTCTGTGTGAATCATTCCTTTATACACATAGTTGCAAAAAGAAGGTGGAAAATTCACTTAATGTTTTTTTTTTCTTGAAAATGAAAATTATTGTTCCTGTATATGTCGTAATGGTCAGAATTGGTGCAAGAAACCTTGACTAATGTTATAAGTGGACTTTCATTATAAGTATATGAGCCGTTTATGATGTCTGTGATCCGTGTGCTTTCATACGCACCTTGCTCAGGTACTCCCTCGTCACCTGAATGAAGTACGGCATGGCGAAGTCCACGAGGCCGTGTCTCCAGGCCAGCTCTAAGACCAGGTCAGGAGCCAGAAGATCATAGGAGCTGAAGAGACACGCGGCGAAACACTCGCGCTTCCCCTCCTCAACAAACCAGCGCAGGAGATCCTGAGACTGAGCGCCGTCCTGAGACTCAGCGGAGAACTGCATCGCTTCCTGACACACAGAGACGCAGAACGCTGGAATAAATCTGCTGAACTTTACTTTTTGTTTGGCAGAAAGAACGAGAGAAAGAAAGAAAGTCATAGAGTTTTGGAACAACTTGAGGGGAAGTAAATGATGACAGCAGCAAAACAAAAACGGGAAAATAGTCACTAATTTATTTGCACATTTTGAATGAAAATTCATTTAAAAAATGTATTAATAATATTAATAATAATGAATAAGGAATACATAAATAAACAAACAGTAAATTAAATGCAAATTGAGTTGAAAAGTCACTAAATTAGTTTAATTAAATTAGAAAATGAACATAAATAAATAAACAGTCACTAATTGAAATACACATTTATAATGTTTTTTAATCAACTAATACATAAAGACATTTTTGGGTGAATTATTCCTAAATTGTTCCACTAAATTAATTCAATATTTTGGTAACACTTTACAATAAGGTTCCATTAGTTAATGTATTAATTAACACGAACAAACAATGAACAATACATTTATTACCATATTTGTTAATCTTTGTTAAGGTTAGTTAATGAAAATTCAGTTGTTCATTGTTAGTTCATGTTTATTCACAGTGCATTAACTAATGTTAACAAGCACAACTTTTGATTTTAATAATGCATTAGTAAATATTAGAATTAATATTAACTAAGATTAATAAATGCTGTAGAAGTATTGTTCATGCTTAGTTCATGCTAACTAAAGTAGTAACTAATGTTAACTAATGAACCTTATTGTAAAGTGTTACCAATATGTTTTATTGAAAGTAAGCAAGTAAATAAATAAATAAATAGCACATTTTTATTCAGAATTAATTGAAAGAATAAAGTAATAAAAAGACTGTAATAATTTCTGGGTGAATCATTCCTCTATACACACAGCAAAAAGTTGGGGAAAAAATTGAAAATTAATTTTTATTTATTAAATTATAAATGTTTATTTTTTTAATAATGAAAATTATTTAAAACACCTGACCAATCACAGCACAGCAAATCATAAACACAACCAACCTAACATACACAAATCATGACCTCATTGCTCAACCATCATGAAGCGAACACGAATCGCACAGCATTTACTGCAGTGAATTCATATTAACATAAAACAAGAGAAAATTAAAAATGAGATATCTAAATACACTACCGTTCAAAACTTTCTAGAAAGTAATACTTTTAATCATCAAGGATGCACTAAATTGATCAAAAGTGACAGTAGTCAGCTGGGCCAGTGTGTGCTGTGATTGGTTAGCTGGGCCGGTGCGTGCTGTGATTGGTTAGCTGTGCCAGTGTGTGCTTTGATTGGTTAGCTGTGCCAGTGTGTGCTGTGATTGGTTAGCTGGGCCAGTGTGTGTTGTGATTGGTTAGCTGGGCCAGTGTGTGTTGTGATTGGCAGCACTCGGCACCTGGTCTGGAAATGTCATGCTCCTTATCATAGCCGCCTGCGAGATTCAGTGTAAATATTGCGTCAAAATCAAATCAATTTGAGCACGATTTAAACCCGGATGATTGTAACCACTCTAAGTTCATCTGCCTTGGGAAAGCTAGCGTGTCGCCGACATAGTGATAACACACGTTGCCTTCTCTAGTGCAGCTCAACCAGGTCTCGTCCCATTCGTCGATATTTGTGATATCACAAATCCCTGAAAATATGCGTTGTAGTCCAAACGAGTCATTTCTGTTAAATAAAATATCTCCTTTTGAAGTGGACTTTGAGCTTTTTAACTTTGTAGATCTTTTTTATGCTCAAACAGCAACATTACAGACTAACTAAAGTTGAAAAAGTGAAAAAGCAAAATAGGACCCCTTTAAACACATTAATTTGAACCTGTACACCATCTTTTATAATGCAGTTGCTGACGAACATTGTGCAGGACGACGACGTTACAATGCAGTTAAATGCTTCAAGATATGAAGGCAAAAATGCCTCATATGGGTTATTGTCTTATATTTATATCATATGATATAGTCTGGCAAGCAAGAGTGCTATTTTTCCCGAATATCTGCACGATTGCAAATGTGATATTGATTACATGCAACAGTAAATAAACAAGAAGTTAATGTTGTCTTATAGTTTAAACACAATATTGTCAATATTGTGTGTTTTTGCTCAATTTCGCTAACTAAAATAGTTCCAAAATCCAATCAAAGTCACAGCAGAATTGACCCTTCGCCGGGAGTTTGATTGACAGGCGATTGGACCAATCAGAACGCAGAATCTGTCATTGTCCGACAAACAAACCAGACAGGAGAGTGGATTAACGTCAGCGGACTTGAACTTGAAAAATCCAGATTCGAACTTTGAGATTCTGCGTTTCCGAACAAATCGAGTGAGTCAATGATTCAGTGACTCATACATAAAGACAGTTCACTTGCTTCATTTCTTAAAGGGGTCCTATTATGCTTTTTCACTTTTTTAATTTTAGTCAGTGTGTAGTGTGTATGTTTGGGCATAAAAAAGATCTAGAAAGTTACAAATCTCAAAGTCCACTCCAAAGGGAGATATTTCGTTTTTAAAAAATCCCTTTTCAAGAACTACAATGAACGGCTCGTTTGGACTACAGCGTTGGTTTCCGGGCTTTGTGATATCACAAAGCGGCCCATTAGAATATCATTAAAAATAATTCCCGCCTACAGAAACTCGAATGGTTGGGGGTTGGGGAGGGGCGAAGTTGTGGTTAGAACGCTTGGTTGAGTGAGCGCATCAGACGAGACGACGAAGAAGAAGTGCTGCTGCAGAGTTAGTGCATCAGAGAAAACCAAGAAGAAGAGCTGCTGTGCTGTCGCCTCAAATTTTCGGCATGTCTAGAACAATTCTTACAAGTACAACACGACGTAGCTGGGCGACGCGGACAGACGCCGAACGGCGCCGACGGTGTGCCTACACTCATAGAAAATAATGTATTTGAATTTTAAAGATGTGGCGCGACGCTGCGCTTCTCGTCCGGTGTGCGATGTTTTTTTCACCTCGTCTTTGTTTGGGCTTCCGAAAGCGGATGATGTCAGGAAACAGTGGTTGCAATTTATTTTTTAACTCTGTCCCTGAGCATTATAACCCTAATTTGCTATTGTGTGCTGCGCATTTTACTGAGGACAGCTTCCACAAGTGCCGGATTCGCCAAAAGCTTTTGTTGAAAGATGTAGCAAGGGGCGTGGCAGTACTGAAACACTGTCTAAGCTGTTCGCCAATAACAACACACTGGGACAGCTAACCAATCACAACACATTTTGTTTTTCGGAAGGCGGACCTTCATCAAAGCCGGAACTAATCAAGCCGTTTGTGCCAGGCTGGGGAGAAAGGTATTGTAATAATGTAAATTATGTGAAAAATAATGCGTTTTTCGAACCACCAAGCATGAGAGCATGTTCTAGTACACCCCCAAAACAAAATCAAGACTTTGTAAAAGAGCATAATAGGACCCTTTTAATGAATCCACCGTCTGAACGAATCGGTTGAATGAATAACTGGATAACTCATAACGCCACCTACTGCTGGTTTTAGTTTCAAATTTAGTTTCTCACTTTCATTTACTTGATGTACTAAATTAACTAAAACTGAAATAAAAATTTATAAAAACCATATAGATGCATAAAAAACCTTTTAAATATATAAAAATATTATTATTACAGATATTTTTATTCATAAAGACTTCTGAATGAATCATCCATTTGAATGAATCAGTTGGATGAATGATTCAATGACTCACTCATTAAGACAATGACTTGCTGCCACCATACTGGCGGCTTTAGTTTCGTAGAGTATCACTTAATTTAAAAAAATGTTTTTCGTATTTTATATTTTAATATTAAATTATTTTTAAAAACCCATTAATGCCTATTTAAAACCAAATCATTTTAATTATGCGATTCTAATTCATGCTTCCTCTGAAAACAACGTTATTGTAGCCTTAAAAGTTTTTGTGTGGCCTAATAAATTCTATGCTGAATCAATATATGTGGCCCTGGAGCACAAAAGCAGTGTTAAGTCGCTGGGGGATATTTGTAGCAATAGCCAACAATACATTGTATGTGTCAAAATTATACATTTCTCTTTTATGCCAAAAATCATTAGGATATTAAGTAAAGATCATGTTCCATGAAGATATTTTGTAAATATATCAAAACTTAATTTTTGATTAGTAATATGCATTGCTAAGAACTTCATTTGGACAACTTTAAAGATGATTTTCTCAATATTTAGATTTTTTTGCACCCTCAGATTCCAGATTTTCAAATAGTTGTATCTCAACCAAATATTGTCCTATCCTAACAAACCATACATCAATGGAAAGCTTATTTATTCAGCTTTTAGGTGATGTATATCGTAAAATAGACCCTTATGACTCGTTTTGTTGTCCAGGGTCACATATTTCTTTTTAGAAATGTCTAATCAATGCTTTTCTCATTTAACATAACACATTTTTCAGCCCAAATTGATGTGCAATTAATTTGCGATTAATTAATCGTTACTTCAGGTAATTAATTAAATTCAAAATTTTCAATCGCTTGACAGCCCTAGTTTAAAGATATGTATTTAATAACGCTGAAGCAGATTTTCTCTCACCTCTTTCCATGTGCGTGTGCAGCTGGCCTTTCGCGCGCTGTCAACAGCCGCCTGAAACTCGCCGAGGTGAACGAGTGTGGACGCCAGGCGAGCAAAATTAGACACGTTATTAAACAGCAGCCGGGCCGCTTCAAACATACCCTCTTCATAACATCTCTCGCCAGCCTACAGAGAGACACACGTTACTGGACACACTGAAAATAATACGTGTGCACACTAATGTTGAGCAACAAGACACAATAGTGATAGATGGTGAAAAGACTCTTTACTGCAGTTTTCTTTAAGACAGTCAAAAATGGCCAAATATTTTTACTTTAAAAAATTTAAATATATTATTGTTATTGAAAAGAAATGATTAAATACATTAGAATATGCTATATTGCTATTATAATATATATTACTATTGATATAAAATGTATGCGTCTATGCACACACACACACATATATATAATTGCATTATATAATTACTTAATATATAATTTTTTTTATTATATATAAAATTAATATAACATTATATATATATATATATATATATATATATACTATTATGATTACACATAAATAAATTATCATTAATATGATTATTACACTATTAAATATATTATGATTAATATCACATTTAATAAATGATGTTTAATATATTATGATCAATTCTATTACAATTACTGCATTTCATTACACACGGTCAAACATAATAATATGTAATGTAATAAATGTAATATTAGATATATCTGTAGTAACATTAAATGCATTAATTCTTAAATTCATTATGATTAATATTACATTTAATATATTATAAACTTTAAATATTAATCATTATATATTTAATTATAATTATTAAATAACTGATATAATTACTATTACTACAGATATATCTAATATTATTACTAAAGATATTATTATTTTAACCAAGTGTAATCCAATACGATAAAATATGATCATTTTAATAGAATGTTATAGGCTAGAAAAGCTCATTTAAAATGAGCACTTTTGGTTTTGAGAACTTTTATTTGGGTGCATCAGAGTTTGCATGTGTTTAAATCTCCGTACTTGCTGTATGTGAGCGTTGTTGGGGCCGTTGATGAAGTCCTCCAGCTCGCTCAGACGGTTTGTTTTAGCCAGAGCAAAGATGAGCTCCGTCTCAACGTACGACTCTCTGGCTTTCTTTCTCGCCATTTGAAGAAACTTCACCAGATCCTCCCAGTTCTCTATGAAAACAGACCATTTTGAAACAAGAGAGTTTGATGTACTTAGTGACGAACCGTTTCATTCACAACTCAAAATATCCTCTCTAGTCATGAAATCTATATTTTGACTGTATTTAGTGTAAGAAAACTTGACTAACATTATACATGGACATACAAGATAGTAGAAAATTACAGCATCACTACAATGACACATTGATTTCTAAAAGCACCATAAAACGCCGATTTACAGTCAGTGCATGGGTGTAAACAAACATCTTATGTAAGTTTCAGGACAGTTTTAGGGCATTTTAAAAGATCGTTCAAAAGAACAGCATTTATTTGAAATATAATTTTTGTAACATTATACATCAATCAATTTAATGCTGAATAAAAATATTAATTTCTTTCAAAAAGTAAAAACGTACTGACCTCAAAACATTTGCGGTAGTTTATATTTGCGCTGAAGTGGCTTTAACCTATTTATTTTAATTGAAATTTTATATATAGTATATTTTAAATATTTAATGCAATAAGTAAAACAATATATCTTGCTAAAATAATTAAGGCATTGTTTCTCATTTGTGATCGAATATTTATGATACACTGAATATTTTTGAATGTATTTATAAATATAATATATAAAATATTATTTTATTGGCGACATATAATTTTTTTAATATCTTGAAATACTCTGATATTTCTAAGACTGGCAAATAAAAGGCACATTAGAATCATGACACTAGTTCAAAACTCTTACTAAATATATTTATAATACACATAGAAATTAATACTTTTATTCATCAAGGATGCCTTACATTGATCAAAAGAGATGATAAAGACATTTATAATGTTACAAAAGATTTCTGTTTCAGATAAACCCTATTCTTCTGAACTTTCTTTTCATCAAAGAAACCTGAAAAAATTCTACTCAACATAACATGTACTTTTCAACATAATAATAATAATAATTTTTTTTTAGCAGCAAAGCAGCATATTATACTGATTTCTGAAGATCATGTGACACTGAAGACTGGAGTAATGATGCTGAAAATACAGCTGCGCATCACAGAAATAAATTACATTTGACTATATATTCAAATAGAGAGCAGTTATTTGTAATAGTAAAAATATTTCACAATATTACTGCTTTTGCTGTATTTCATTTGTGATCGAATATTTATGATACACTGAATATTTTTGAATGTATTTATAAATATAATATATAAAATATTATTTTATTGGCGACATATAATTTTTTTAATATCTTGAAATACTCTGATATTTCTAAGACTGGCAAATAAAAGGCACATTAGAATCATGACACTAGTTCAAAACTCTTACTAAATATATTTATAATACACATAGAAATTAATACTTTTATTCATCAAGGATGCCTTACATTGATCAAAAGAGATGATAAAGACATTTATAATGTTACAAAAGATTTCTGTTTCAGATAAACCCTATTCTTCTGAACTTTCTTTTCATCAAAGAAACCTGAAAAAATTCTACTCAACATAACATGTACTTTTCAACATAATAATAATAATTATTTTTTTTTGAGCAGCAAAGCAGCATATTATACTGATTTCTGAAGATCATGTGACACTGAAGACTGGAGTAATGATGCTGAAAATACAGCTGCGCATCACAGAAATAAATTACATTTGACTATATATTCAAATAGAGAGCAGTTATTTGTAATAGTAAAAATATTTCACAATATTACTGCTTTTGCTGTATTTCTGATCAAATAAATGCAGGCTTGATGAGCAGAAGAGACTTCTTTAAAAAACATTAAAAATCTTACTGTTCAAAAACGTTTGACTGGTAGAGTATATCTTGTTATCTTGCTAAAAAATGATCTAGGCATTGCTATTTTCTGAATGTATTTATACTACATCAGTTTCAGGATGTTTGAGGACAGTTCATCTCACCGTTTCTGCTGGCAGCATCCACCACCTCCATGTACGCCGACGGCTCGCCAGCTTTGATGTAGGAGTCGATGGCCTCTTTGACCAGACCGGACTGAAGCTGAGCCTGAGCCAGCTGACTCCAGACCGAGCCCTCGGCACAGCGCTCCGCAAACTCATACGCCCGCTCCAGATTCCCCATGTGCTCGATCAGAACCTGCGTTATGTTACTTTTGCGTTACTTTTTAAATCTGGACAGGGCTTGCTTGTTTGTTTTTAAAATAAAAAAGTTCTATTTTTGGCAAATATAAAAGCCTTTTCACACCAGAAGTGAAATGAATATGCCTCAGGCTGAAGGGAACGTACATTTACATCCGTACAGTAGAATGCAGAAGAAGACATTTCAACACACTTCAGCAATAAAAAAAGATTTGTCTAGAGTGGTCTAGAGTAATTCGTGCTTATTAGTACGCTTGAACTGAATCATCGAAGCTCAGAAGCAAAGACATTGGTTAATAGAATGGGATTAAATACATAAAGGATATTTGTGTTGTTTAACATTTAATTATTGCAGGTTTGCGTGTGTCTATCTGTGTGTGTGTGTGTGTGTGTCTCTGTGTGTCTATCGGTGTGTGTCTGTGTGTGTGTGTGTGTGTGTGTGTGTGTGGACCTGTATCGCTGAGCTGTTGACGTCAAACTTCTTGAAGATGGAGAAGGCCTCTTCGTACAGCTCACTGCTGATGGCGATGTTGGCGATGTCAGGAGCGTCGTAATTGTCCAGCCGGTTGATGTACTCCATGACCCGCGTCCGGTCCGCTTTGATGGCCGTCAGGATCAGCAGGTTCTGCAGGTTCCTGATGCAGAAAGACACGCTTTATTAACACCACATACAGTCAATACATAATCTACATCAACATGCAGTAAATAAAATTGTTCCCATTATAATCAACTTCCAGCTTTTATCCAAAACTACTTACAGTTACCACAAAGTGTATAATCTTATTTCAATCAAATACAATAAAAATATGATATAACTAGATCACTCCCATTATAAATCAACAATATATTGAAGTTTATTCATTTAGCAGATGTTTTTATCCAAAGCTGCTTACAAATTAGCAATTAATAAGCGATTAATCTTAACTGAACACATAACATAACATAATGTTACATATTTTACATTCATTAATTTAGCAGATGTTTTTACTCAAAGCTACGCACAATAAAATGAGATATACAACAAAGCAATCAATCTTAATTAAATGTAATGTAATATAATATAATAAAAATATTTTATAATATAATACAATACTTTCATTCAAAACTACTTACAACTGAGAAATACAACAAATAGATTAATCTTAATTCAATATAATAATATAATCAAATATATAATATAAAACATTGTAATGTAATATAATATATTTACATTTATTAATTTAGCAGATGCTTTATGCAAAGCTAATTTACTACAGTGATTAATCTCAATAAAATAAAATTACATTAAATTAAATTCAATATAAAACATTTTGATGTAAAATATTTACTTTTTATTATATTTAAATTGTTCATATATTCACATATTTAAATTTTCATTTAGTATATGCTTAAAAAAAAGGCAATCAATCTTAATTCAATATAATATAATATAATATAACGGTAATAAATTTAGATTTATTCATTAAGCAGATGATTTTATTCAAAATTCCTTACAACTACGGAATGCAACAAAGAAATTAATCTTCATTCAAAAGAACCTAATAAAATATAATATAAAACACTGTAATATATTTTATTCAGTTAGCAGATGCTTTTATTCAAAGGTTCTTAAAAATTAGGACTACAACAAAGAGATTAATCTTAATTCAATATAATATGATATGATATATGATATAATATAATTGAACAAGGATAATTACAATCTACTTTCAATGCTCCACACAGCTACTCTCCAACTACTTAATTTTTCTGTCAGTCAAAAAGAATACTTTATTTACACAATATGTGAGAGTTTTGCTATGCATTTTATTCATTATGCATTTCATTTTGGCCATTACATCAGATTCCAGCTTGTGGTATATGTGACCCTGGAGCACAAAAGCAGTGTTAAGTCGCTGGGGGATATTTGTAGCAATAGCCAACAATACATTGTATGGGTCACAATTATAGATTTTTCTTTTATGCCAAAAATCATTAGGATATTAAGTAAAGATCATGTTCCATGAAGATATTTTGTAAATTTCCTACCGTAAATATATCAAAACTTAATGTTTGATTAGTAATATGCATTGCTAAGAACTTCATTTGGACAACTTTAAAGATGATTTTCTCAATATTTAGATTTTTTTGCACCCTCAAGTTTCCAGATTTTCAAATATTGTCCGATCCTAACAAACCATACATCAATGCAAAGCTTATGTATTCCTACCGTAAATATATTAAAACTTAATGTTTGATTAGTAATATGCATTGCTAAGAACTTCATTTGGACAACTTTAAAGATGATTTTCTCAATATTTAGATTTTTTTGCACCCTCAAGTTTCCAGATTTTCAAATATTGTCCGATCCTAACAAACCATACATTATGTATTAAAATGGAGCCTTATGACTGGTTTTGTTGTCCAGGGTCACATATGAATTGGAGCTCAAGCGGTGTGACACGAGTCTCTCAGACTGACCTGTGTTCACTGAATATGGAGTTCTCCAGAACGATCTTCTCCAGAAGTTCAATGAGTTCATTGGGCAGATCGGCCGTCATAAACGCCTTCACCGTCACAGACACTTCGTCTGGATCCTGCGTGTCCGGCAGAGCCGTCTGAACCACCTGTGCACACAACCCTCATCATTAACATCTCAATGATCACACACTGCGTGATGTTTGCAGATGTTTCAGATGCGACTCCAGGGTCACATATGAATTGGAGCTCAAGCGGTGTGACACGAGTCTCTCAGACTGACCTGTGTTCACTGAATATGGAGTTCTCCAGAACGATCTTCTCCAGAAGTTCAATGAGTTCATTGGGCATATCGGCCGTCATAAACGCCTTCACCGCCACAGACACTTCGTCTGGATCCTGCGTGTCCGGCAGAGCCGTCTGAACCACCTGTGCACACAACCCTCATCATTAACATCTCAATGATCACACACTGCGTGATGTCTGCAGATGTTTCAGGTGCGACTCGTGCCTGATCTATCAGCGGCCGTCTGTAGGGGTTCGTCTCCTGCAGAACTCGAGCCCAAAGATCGGGATCTTTTCGTCGCACCAGATACCGCGACTGGCTTTTAAACAGGGAGTTTTCACTGCACACCTACAGGAGGACAGAAAAACACAGATTCCAGCAAATCAGCATATTAGAATGATTTCTGAAGGATCATGTGACACTGAAGACTGGAGGAATGATGCTGAAAATACAGCTGCGCATCACAGAAATAAATTACATTTTACTATATACTGACATAGAAAATACTTTTTTAAAATCGTACAACTTTTTCATAATATTACTGATTTTACTGTATTTTTAATCAAATAAATGCAGCCGTGGAGAGCAGAAGACACCTGTATGAGCTCCAGGTCACAATGTCCTCTCTCATAGGCCACAAAGGCGAGGTGCGGGTCTCTCTTCTCGCAGTATCGGCCCACGGTGGTGCTGTCGTAGTGCAGGTTTTCTCGGAGGAAGCGCTCAGGACTGTTGTTACTGTCTATGTAGATCTTTGCCAATGCATTGTGGGTAGCAGTTTCTTCACAGCCCTCCTGAACACGAGATTCCAGCCAAGACAAGAGCAGCTTCAGTCTGGAGAAAACAAGGAGAGAGACACTGATGGAGCTATCAGCTAACACAACTATGTGTGAGGAATGGGTAATACAGATATTAAACTATGTTATCTCAACAAAAATATTTCATATATATATGTATATAAATATAATTTTTATTTTATACTGTATATAGTACATTCATTTTATATTAGTATATACATTTGTTTTTTTTAAAGTATTTTTTTTAGTTTGTTTATTTTCATGAATACATTTTAACATATATAAACATATACACAGTTTCTTCACAGCCCTCCTGAACACGAGATTCCAGCCAAGACAAGAGCAGCTTCAGTCTGGAGAAAACAAGGAGAGAGACACTGATGGAGCTATCAGCTAACACAACTATGTGTGAGGAATGGGTAATACAGATATTAAACTATGTTATCTCAACAAAAATATTTCATATATATATGTATATAAATATAATTTTTATTTTATACTGTATATAGTACATTCATTTTATATTAGTATATACATTTGTTTTTTTTAAAGTATTTTTTTAGTTTGTTTATTTTCATGAATACATTTTAACATATATAAACATATACATATATGTTATTTATGGTAGACATTTTGATTTTATATAGTAGATTCAAAATGTTTAATATGACAAGAAAAATATCAAGGGATGTTTATTTGTGAGCTTTGATTGAGTATTCATTCATGATACACTGAATATTTACAATAGACTAAATATTGTATTATTTTACTTATTTTTTATTTGTTTATTTTTTTTCTTGGCATTATAGATTTTTTTTTTTTTTTATGTCATTACATTGGTTGGAGCATAAGAAACAACTGGAGAAAAAACATTTTTTTGCAAGAAAATATTATATTCATATTTTATTCTATGTCCTTTGTAGAGGATGCCAAGACTAAGTTATTCAAAAAAATAAATAGACATGAAAAGGCAAAAACAATGTTTGATTTTTTTCATTTACCAATGATTTTTCAGGCTATTTTTAGCCAAACTTTGTACAAAAATTATTCTCAACTATGTTATGAAAGATATAACAGAATGATCTGATGATACTACTGTACTTTATGGAATATATGTGTAAAATGTCAATAAATTGATGTTCCAATTTTATTCAATGTATCTATACATTGCATCTAATTTGCATATTAATGTGTTCTTGGGGCAAACCATAATGAAAAAAGAAGTGTAATAACGGCAGTAATAATTTAGCAACATTTTCATAAGAATATCTAATATTTCATAGGAATATTGATCTATAATTTGTTTATTTTCATGAATACATTTTAACATATATAAACATATACATATATGTTATTTATGGTAGACATTTTGATTTTATATAGTAGATTCAAAATGTTTAATATGACAAGAAAAATATCAAGGGATGTTTATTTGTGAGCTTTGATTGAGTATTCATTCATGATACACTGAATATTTACAATAGACTAAATATTGTATTATTTTACTTATTTTTTATTTGTTTATTTTTTTTCTTGGCATTATAGATTTTTTTTTTATTTTTATGTCATTACATTGGTTGGAGCATAAGAAACAACTGGAGAAAAAACATTTTTTTGCAAGAAAATATTATATTCATATTTTATTCTATGTCCTTTGTAGAGGATGCCAAGACTAAGTTATTCAAAAAAATAAATAGACATGAAAAGGCAAAAACAATGTTTGATTTTTTTCATTTACCAATGATTTTTCAGGCTATTTTTAGCCAAACTTTGTACAAAAATTATTCTCAACTATGTTATGAAAGATATAACAGAATGATCTGATGATACTACTGTACTTTATGGAATATATGTGTAAAATGTCAATAAATTGATGTTCCAATTTTATTCAATGTATCTATACATTGCATCTAATTTGCATATTAATGTGTTCTTGGGGCAAACCATAATGAAAAAAGAAGTGTAATAACGGCAGTAATAATTTAGCAACATTTTCATAAGAATATCTAATATTTCATAGGAATATTGATCTATAATTTCTCGTTGTTTCCCCAAAATGCCTGATTAACAGCCGTTTGTCCTGGTGTCCTCTGCAGAAGACATGTATGAAAATTATTCCCCGTTTCATAACAAAAAGTCATATTCCGATTTGAAACCCCATAACATTTTTCTGAGATGTTTATTTACGACAAACAATTTGAACATCAGCCAGATTGAAATGATCATGACAAAACATTATCATACTTCCCTAAGAGTGCTAAATCTGATTATTCTGTCAATATCAGTCATATTTAGAGAACAAGGAGAGGGAGTTTATGATCAAACCTCCAAACATTTAATATCTCTAAAAAGCCCTGAATGTGCTCTGAACAGAAACTGTGGCGTGTAGCGTCTCAGAGAAATCCATTCAAATATAATGTCCTCTACAGAAGTCTATGTCTGTGCTCCAGAAGGTTAAATTACATTATATTATATTTAGTACATTACAAATCATAAATCAGGGCTCTATATTTGAGATTCATTGTGCAGGGAGCTTCGTCGATTATAATGGAACTTTATGAGATGGAGATTAACTGAGATGAGTGACAGCTTTTAACGAATATTAACTCTTTCCCCGCCAGCATTTTAGAAAAAAGTTGCCAGCCACCGCCAGCGATTTTGAAGATTTTCACTAAAATTTGATGGCCTCCAGAATATTTTGCTGTATGAATATTTGAATATGCAATACACCGAAATAAAGATCAGAGCCTCTACTTTTAAACAAAAAATCTAGCTTAAAGCATTCTTTTTTTATCAACACTTGAATATAGGTAGGTTTCATAAAAATGCATAATTTTGAGCAAAAAGGTGAGAAAATCACATTTTTATCAAAAACTACATCTGGGTAATATTCAGTACGATTATCAAAGCATAAATCCAGTAAATCGCTTCCATCAACACCTCCAAAGCTTGCACAGACATATATCACTTCCTG